GTCAGACAAAATACGACTAAAGGAGAAATTATGTTTAACAAAGTCATGTTAACGACCACAGAATTTAAGAAATGCTGTCTTTAAATGAAGTTGTTGAAATCCCTGTAACATCAACTTATATGTCAGTTACCTGACTCGCTTTAAAAATTGCAGACACTCAGTGCATGCTCTTGAGTATCGAAAAAGTTGGGAGATGAAAACACCATATGCAGGTGATAGCGGAATATTTCTTCTTAAATAAGAAAATTTCACGATAGAAAAGCTGTAGCTATCTTGCTTGTCATTCAGTTTCGTTGTTAATTGGCCCTTATCGTCTTTATTTAGTAAAACAACCAAATATGAAACAGATATTTGCAGACTGTGGTGTCTTTTATTTCAAGTTCACAGGGATATATCGAGTTGATACTCGTTTAGTACGAACACGGACATTGCGAATTCACGGATATAGCGAAGTTTTCTTGGATCCCCAGCTATATAAATGTAGTTCTTGAATAAATTCTGCTTCATAGAAATATATAAACAGGTCCGCTAATAAAGAGGCAAGACCTGGTCTCCGAAGACTACATAAAGATTTTGAATGAGGAACTCAGTGGCGGATCCAGGAATTTCAGTAGAAGGCAAGGGGTCTAGGGGCTGCATTAAAACCCCCCAATGGGTCCAGGGCAAAGTCTTGGTGGGGATCCGGGCTGACAAATTCTTGCAAATAAGAAGTGTTTCACCCTTGATTTTAGAATAATGGACAAAGGATCTATACCTATATGTAATAAAAATATTCAAACGGGGGGGGGGGGGGATGGATCCGCCTTTGGAACTCCAGCATTCTTTTGATATCAACTTCAGAGTACTTGTGTGTAGAATCAGTGATTTTTTTACAAAGTAATTTTGTTGATAACCATTCACAAGATACAAAAAATTCCGAGTTCCATTTTTATTGAAGAAACAGTTGTCTTAATAAAAAAAAAACTTAGTTTTTTTTTAAATTTATTGTATTAAGTGTAGAAAAGTCGTTCGTTTTTTGTTTGTTTTTTTTTTAATTTTATTTACTTTTGAAAAATGTGGTGATTTTAAATTTTCTGAAAGTTCTTTGAGTTTTTGAGAATCCACTTCTGATTAACGCCACTTCTAGAATATGCTGTAGCACAGTACGTCTGAAGTTTCTCCATTTACAGCAGTTAATATTTTTGTAAGGAGTAAAGAGAGGAGTTTGGTAGAGCATTTGCCAGAACGGCAATGCATCTTTCTTTCTAAGGATTTTATGAGTTTAAAAATCTAAACTCCTTCTCAATAGAGGTCAGATGCTGTTGTGGGTCTCAAGTAGAGATATGTACATTTGCCACCAAGTCTAATTACTAAAACCTCGAGTTAATGCCCACCGTCTCAGATAGGTTCTGTCAGCAAATCATCTTAAGCACCTCTCAGTCTGGTGTTTCTAGAGATCCTTGTTTTTGCCCTGTTGACGATTCGTATTCTTCACTGGATGTATTAGTTTGATCACTGCTCACAAAGCATATCTTTACCTCCTCCTCATTATAGTGACCCTAGTAATGCTTTAGCAGCTGCATGAGAATGGAAAAAGATGAGTCTTCAGCGCCTTTTAATAACTGAAACCCGTGGCTAAGGGAAGAAAACCCGAAGAGAAAAAACTCTGGTCTTCCGGGTTCAAAGGGTTGTACTTGGGGTCAGCAAACCCAAAAGGCAAAACATAAAAAAAATCCTCTATAGAAATAGCAACAACACCACAAGTACGAGACATTGCTCTCAAGCGGAGCTCATGAGGTGTGCGAGTGAAAACTATCAGGAAGCCAGTTCACCGATAAATCCCGTTGATTAAGGCTAATTTAATACCAGAATAGGGACCTTTAATATCAAAAGAATACACGAGGCCGGGAAATCTGCCCGCGTAGCAAAAAAGATGAAAATGTACTTGGTTTATATGAACGGAAGGGGACATAATCAAGAGAGTCCATCATCTATACACAGGACACGCGACGAACAGGACCATGCGTATACTTATGGAGTTGTCTTAATGCTATAATACACCAGAAACAACAAAAGCGATGTTAGCTTGGGAACCGGTGTCACCAAGGCTCATGTCAGCCAGATTCAGCTCCTAGGTAGGGAAGATTACGATCATCCAATTTTATGTGCCAACTAATGTAGCAGGGGAACAATAGAAGAATGAATTTTACTCTGCATTTCAGTAACTGATATACCGTGCACCTTACAGATATGTGAACTTAATTGTTATTGAAGATTTATATGCAAAGGTGGGAGAAGACAACACAAACAGTGAGCTTGTCATGTGAAAATACGGCATCGGAAACGCGAAACAAAATGCACGTTTCTTAGATTCCTGCACTTTTGATGATACGGTCATAGGAGATACCACAATTCCACACAAGAAGATACACAAAACAACCTGGATTTTCTCAGTTGGAAAGATAAACAAAATTTTAAAAATCATATTACCATCAAACGAAAGTGGAGAAGCTTGCTAGATGCGACAAGGCGGGGAGCAGATGTATCCTCAAATCATCCATGAAAACAGCTACGCTGAAGATGAAAATAGAAAATTCAATGACAAATTGAACACACCACACCGCAAAGTTCAACACCCAATTTCTTTTTAAAACAAAGGGAAAAAAGAGGAGTTCAACATAAAAATGAACACATCTGAGGCACTAGAGGGTCTGAGAGACAAAACCATATAAGATCAATGGGTAAAGTTCCAAGACACCTGATAAACTGAATGCAATGAAGTCATAGGAAAGAAAAAGAGTGAACACAAAGAATGATTGACAGCAAGATCGTGGGGAAAAGTGAAACAAAGAAAAAAATTGAAACAAAGAATCAACCAGAGCCAGGATACTTAGTTTCCGGAGAAACTAAGAACAGAATACAGGGATGCCAACAAGCAAATTAAGAAGAGTGTTGGGAAGGACAAGAAACAGTTTGTCCACGGCATGACCGAGGAGGCAGAGAAATCAGCCATAAATAACACAAAATTATCACGTCTCGTTTGACGTCATCATTTGGAAAGTTTTATGGTCGATACAATGACCTTGCCAGAAAATTCAACCTATCATTAAGTAAAATGCTGACTGACGTTTTTCATAATAATTGATAGGCCATCGTTTACACATTGAATTGTCTACGGATTTTTCCGTTTTTCCCGATCATGACAAGTAGCACACGGCGGGTGTGACCGGTTGGCAGGGGATGCTCATCTCAACCGATAAGGCTTGTAGCAATATTGTCTTTGTTTTTAAGGCACATTATTATAACTGTATTTTAGAACTTGGTTTTAATTCTACGTCCGGAAATCCAACTTATACTTGCTGTTCACTTTTTTATGATGAAAGTCTTCAAAGTCACATTTCATTGTTTAATACTTCTAATATTCCAGTCAACCAATGCAAGACGAGTTCGATCTACCCTACCTATACTGGATTCCTAAACTTCATAAAAATTCTTACAAACAGATGTACATTGTCTGGTCCAGCAAATGTTCTACCAATCCCTTTTTTGACTCCCTTCAAAAATATTAATAGCCATAAAGGAGAAAATCCAGACTTATTGTGCTACAGCCTATTCTAGAAGTGGTGTAAATCAGATGTAGATTTCCAAAAACTCCAAAGAACATTTAAAATCGCCGAATTTTTCAAATTATACAACATTCCTGACGATGAATTAAAGAATAGGCGTTTTGATATCATAGACAACTGCTTCTTCATTAAAAATGGAAGTCGGATATTTTCGTATCTTGTGATCGGTCATCAACAAAATTACTTTGTTAAAATCACTCTGATCCTATACACAAGTACATGTACTCTGAAGTTGATATTAAAAGGTACTAGGGTTCCTCTTTGACAACATTTATATAGTCTTCGGAAACCAAGTCTTTCAAGAAACTGTTGGAATTCCGATAGGCACTAATTGTGCTCTTTTTATTGCCGACCTGTTTTTATATTCCCATGAAGCAGAATTTATTCAAAAATTTCTACATGAGAAGAAAAAAAAAACACTTTCTGTGATCTTCAACTCGACATTTACATATATCGACGACTTAATATCAATTAACAGTAGTTACTTCCATTAATATGTCGACTCGACATGACTCGACATATCCCCTTGAACTTGAAATAAAAAATACCACGGAGTCTGCCTCATCTGTTTCTTATTTGGTTGTTTTACTGACTATAGACGATAAGGGTCAACTAACAAAAAAAAATGTATGAAAAACAAGATGACTTCAGTTTTTTCATAGTCAACTTTCATTATTTATGTAGTAATATCCCACTATCGCGTGCAGGAGGTCCTAACTTCTCCCATCTTATTTGATACTCTTGAGTCACGCTCCGAATACGATTAATTTTTAAACCAAGGCAGGCTACTGACTGATAAATTGATGTTCTCATCAATTTGAGTTGAGCTCAACAATGAGGTGGATTTACTGTTTGCAAGAATTAATTTGGAACTCCGTATACATACATTTCTTTAATTGAAGATCTCATTATTTCACAAGTTTCAAAAAAGAATTAATGTTCCCCTCTAAAAAAAATTACATTAGTTATCACTTCAATAAAAGAGAGCAAAAAATCAATAATTGAGCGCATTTATTGACTTATTTCTCTTTTCAATTGGATTATTGCACTCATCAAATCAATTTTTTTTTTATACATGTATCATTATATCATTGAAGAGAGCAACAATTCAGTTATTGCGCAAATCAAACCAGCAAATTATTAACTATCAGCAACTGAATTATATGTGGCAATATTTTGAATAGATCTTTAATTGAATTGCTGCGTACACCAATAAACATGCTGATTATATCTTCAAATATATCTTCAATTGTTTGAATTTATTTACAGTAGTTCGGCGCTTCGTGGAGTTTTTGCTTTCTCTTCTAGTATTACATACGAATTATCTTTACTCGGGAAAAAATCAAGAAAGTTTTAAATTAATTTAAAAAAGAACAACACATTTTTGCCATGTTTTCATCCTACCACTGATGGAATAGGTGGAGATGATGATATTTTCTTAAAAATAGGAGGTGCACTGGACTGAAAGCTAATCAATTCAACTGAGGCTATGGTCGAGTGACTGGTGTGAAACTTGATCTGATGAATGTCTTCAGTTTCATACAGCATCCCAACTCCTTCACCTTGAAACTGGTCATGGCTATGTTTGGGCCAGAGATTCCAAGAAGCAACACCGTAAGTTAAAACTAAATGTCCATTCCCCATAGTAACGTGCGCTTCTCCATATGCATCGTTGTGGTAAGTACCAACATATTCTGATAGAGAACGTGATGCAGATACTGAGCGATCTATTTTGACATACTGATGGTATGAAATAGAGGAATACCATGGGTTTGGAAAACTACAGAATGTGGTTGAATTTAACCATGGTGTCACCTCAAGAAGTGTGTCAGCAATATAATTATGAAGCAGGTTTCTGAAGATGTAATGTTCGTCATCGCCCGTCATTGAGGTAAATATGCCCATGTTGAGATCCGGGAAAAGTGTAACCAATGAACAGTAACCAAACGTGCTCCCAGTATGCCGCAAGATCCGGTTTCCTGTCAAAGATATCCACATGTATAAATACAAAGTGTTTTAGCTCGCATGAGATAAAAGCCCAAGTAAGCTTTTCTGATCACCAATTTCCAGGCGTCCCTTGTCCTCCATTTGTTTATAAACATTACACATTTTGATTTCTCGTCACTTGGCTTATTTTAATCATAAGGCACAGAGCATCCCTGAGTTGAGGGTATTCAAAATTGTTCAGTGAAAAGTCAGGTGCCTTCCAGGGGTTTGTTAAAAAAAAAAAAGGCACAAAGAATGTGGTGTCCTTCTCAAGAACCACTGGCCCAGAAAAATTGAAAATTAGAAAGCTTCCCGGCATAATGTAGATTCTCAATTATACATATCAAGTCCTCGGGAGTAGGGTGGGACCACAATTCGAGATCAAAGTTTTATATTAGAATATATGGAAAGAAAATCTTTCAAATAATCTTCACTCCTGAAGAACAGCAAAGCCATAATTAGTCAAACATGTAATTATATAAAAGCAGCCTAAGTTGGTTCAGATTTATGTAATTTTTCTCAATTATGGCGATCTCTGGGAGGGGGGAGGTAAGGTTGGGCCACAGTAAAGATCTCCTCAAAGTTTTACATAGGAATAGGGATAAATCTTTCCAAAAGAGCAGAATGTCCATCCTTGGGTAATGCAGATTCATCTTTGTTCAAATCATGACCTCATGGAATAGGGTGGGATCAAAGTTTTACATGGAAATATATGGAAAGTTTTACATCCGGATATAAAAGAAAAACTCGAAACTCTTTATCTCAAAAGGAGAGGGGCCAATTTTACGATGTAAGTATCTCTAGGTAGTGCAGATTCAACTTTATTTTCAAATATCGCTCCTTTGAGCTCCCCATCCCACCCCCCCACTCCGGGGAGGGGGCACATGGTTTTACAAGGGAATATGTTGGTAAAAAGTCTTCTTTAGGTATGTGATTAATCACATTAATTTGCAATCATCTGAAGTCATGTACAGCGCAGATTCGATTCAAGTTTGTTCAACTCATGACCCAGAGGGTAGGGGGAGCATCCTTTTCATGAAATATCTATTTAGCACGATCAACAATCTTGCTTTTGAAAATATTACATTTTGAAAAGAAAAATAATAATTCAGATATTTTAAGTGTTGCAGAGTTTACCAAGTTATTATAACTGGATAGATACCTTTTGGAATGATACTTGTAAGAGGCATTAATATTCTTTGTGGCTATGCTAATCTTGACCATACTCCTTGTTTACGAATCTTATCCAAACATTTGGAAGAGGAACAATAATTTATCCCAGAAATAATTAGCTGATCAACCATTACCCTAAATCAACCAACCCAAGTCTTAAGCCAACTATCCAGCAGGCAAAATGCTGTAAAACGTACTTGAAACTAAAATGGGCATACCTCTGTAGTGACCATTCTTCCAAGCAAACGCATAACTAGTTTCACTGGTAGACACTGGGACCTTGGGTTGACGGAAGTAACTTTCCACTGCTGATACCGGAATCACATTCCGCGGGGTATGCAGATAACCAAAGGAGTGGGAGTCCATTAGTGGTGATCCTGTTTTATCCTTGCCGCCATTGAGGTGAAAATTCATCCACTTAGCGTAATCAATTCCATTTGAAAGGATACTATTAGATGCAGCCCATATACCCCATTTCCTATTAAGAATTTTAACATACAAATTAAAAGTAATGGACAAAGTACTTTTTCAGCGACTTAGTACCAAAAGCCAAAGGTCAATTTTTTTTTTTTTTTTTTTTTTAATTTTTGCTATCCTTTGATCATGCCTATCATTCTGTATATGCATTTTAAGAATGACACAAGTTACGTTCAATGTCTTAATCATTGCAGAAAGAATAACCGTAGAACAAACAGTAATTAAAAAGTACATATGCACATATTGACACCTACAATATTGCAATTCTGGAGACACTTAAGGAGGCTGGGGGGTCAACAAATTAACCACAAATTAACCACCAGATTTAACTTAATTTTTTAGATATGATATCTTAAGCTGTCAACTATCATTTGGCAAAGAAAAATTTCAAAAATTTTAGTTTTAAAATTTGATCATTTTCTATATCTTCATATGGAGCTCTTCTTCTAAAGGAGATCAATATAGTCTAAAAATGGCCACAACCCCCCCAGCCTCTTTAATTGTTTCTGTAATATACACAGAAGAATAGCATACCCCCCAGCCTCTTTAATTGTTTCTGTAATATATACAGAAGAATAGCATTTATTACTAAAGCAGGGTCCAAATATATAACATATCTATACGTATAAATTAATAAATTTTGCAAATAAACTCCGAAACGGGTGCACCTGAGTTCTTACTTACTCCTCTAAGAATACACACGATACAAGATGATGTCCGTAAACTATATTTAGATTTCACTTGCATTGTAAGTATCGTACATTAAATTAAAAGTCTACTTTTATTTTCTATAAACAGCCATGAAATAGCAAAAACGTGAGTACGGTAGCGTTTCCGGTTGGCGGATCTAAGTTACTGGCAATTTTTAATGAAACTGACAACAAGCAATCGTTTATTTATTTCATTAAACGTCATTACTGAATTATTCAATCAAAAACTTGATTTAAATGATATAAAAGAAATAAGTTGTGATAACCGATTAAAAAGGAAAATGTGCAAATTATTTTCGCCATTCACCGATCGTAATATTGACGGAAGCTTCTAGATATAGCATCATATAGCATCGAGCCCGATGTTAAAAAGAAAAACGAGGCGATTATAGCTGCTTTAACATAAAAAAAGCTTTTGTGTGAATGGTCATTGAAATAATGATAAATCATTGATAACACTGAAAGTTGTGAATATATTTATATATTGAAAGACTATTACATATATGTAGTAGGTTTTCCTAATAAATTAATCGGTAAAATTTGTATATATATTCCTCACTGAGAGCATCATGGCAACGAACCCGAAGTACAATTTGTACTTCGTAATAAACTTGATTACATGAAAAGAGAATATTAATGAATAAGGCATTATTCGAATACAATTATGCTGTAAAATTTTGTGCTTTAATCAATACATTTCAGTTTTTTTTAATACAGTCTTTTGTATCAAATACTCGGCCTATTCCAGTGGCGGATCCAGGAATCTTGAAGGGGGGGGGACCAGTTTGGGGTTTGGATAGGGGCTCACGGACACACCAAAAAAAATGATTTATTAAATTTTATGTATATTTTGGACACAAAACGGGAGGGGGGCTGGGCCCCCTCTCTAAATTCGCCAGTGTATTGATAGGGCGTTACATAAAAGCTAATTTTTACACAGGTACTTGGGCCTTGATATATAATTATGTATGTACCTTATTGATATGTAAAAAAAAAAAAAAAAAAAAAAAAAAAAAGAGGTAAGGTACAGTTTTTACATATCAATAAGGTACATACATATTTATAAACCAAGACCCAACTACCTGTGAATTTTTACCAAAAAAAAATCTATTTCTCAGTAAAATGTGCATATTCACTGCTTTCATTCTTGACGGAAATGAGTAAGAGCATCTGAAGTACAATATCCGTAACATAGTATATACAATATCCATAACATAGTATATAACAGGTTTCACAATAAACGTCAATTAATGATATTGTTTTTACAAGGGGGGTTGGGGGTTAGAGACGTACTTCTACTTCATGCGGGATTTTGAACAAAGTATTTCTTCCTGCTATAAGCCTGTAGGCTGTCAGTAGAAACTACAATGTATATATTATTAGATTTTTTCTGTCGGTAGTGGTATAAATTCAATTCCCCGCGCTTGCGCGGGATTTCATCTAGTATAATATACATGTATACATATCATAAGAGTACAGTGTAGATTGTTTCACAAAATTTAGTACCTAGGTTTAGTTTGACTTGCAGGGCGCTGCCAAGAAACAACTACATGCTTCTTCGATCTATTTAAGCACATTGCGATTTTACTCTCTACTGGACATTGGGAAGGGGGGTTATTGGATGTACTTAGTGATGGGAAAAATTCTACCAACTGTGTACAACTTTGACTAGACGGTTATTTCTGCATTTTCTATTTGCCTTTGTCTCTGATTTGACAGTAAAAACAGAGAAAAACAATTGTTGATATATAAATTGCAGTAATGAAATTTAAAACATGTTCACCGACTAAACGAACGCTGGACTGGAACTACACTAGAACTTGGACCATTCTCATATCCTGTTGCTACTTTGGAAAAATCAGAAATAGTTGTTACAAAGTTAGAACTGTCCATTCCCAGAGGCTGAAACAGTTCCTCTCGGATCAAATCTTCCCATTTCTTACCACCAAGCTTCTCAGATATGTAGGTAACCAAGGCATAGTTTAGGTTACTGTAGACAAAACTTGTCCGAAAAGCATGTATGGACTTTAGATATGGTATTCGTCTAAAAAATGAAGTTATTTTGAAGTGTTTTAAAATTGCCGGATAAAGAGAATGATTTGTCAATATGTATAACTGGTTAAACATTGGTATTTTGCAACAATTAAAACGAATATATACCCATTATGCTGTGTTAGATTTCAATCGAATATTTGAAGATTTTTAAGACATAAAAGTACTCAAATTAGAATTACAAGTGTGGATTTTTTTTACGTTTTGAAATATTTTTAATCCTATTAAGATCAAAAATGTTTGCTTCAGATGCAGAAAGCTGAGAATGGTAGGAATATTATCTTAATCATACCTTTGCAAGTTTTCTCGCGTGAGGTTGGAGTCAAATCTCAGAAAGCTGTTGCTAGGAATGGCTAAAGTGTGGGACATCAGATCCACTAAATTAGCGTTATCCGTTCTTATGTGTGTGGAAAACCTAAAGCCTTGTTCCATCAAGTCTTTCACTTTTGTGTAAATACTCAAACTGGAATGTTACGATTTTGTTATACTTTAAAAGCAGTACTGGTATTCAACATACACCAGGGAATGTGCATGCGATTAAATAATCGATTAAATAATTTTTTTTATGGATTCCGAGATTTGTAACTTCAACACATGAAAAAATGATTTCGGACAGTTTTTAATTTTAGTTTCCCTAATGCAAAGCCATCAGGAACTTTGAAATTACTTCCTATACTTATATGAGCTCTGTTGAAAAGCTTATACTTTTGAAATAGCTCACAATCCTTCAGCTTGAGAGCAAAAAAGATTTAAAACACGGTGGAAAAAATTCTACTTTGTAGTAAGTGTCATAGTTTTGGCTTACTGACTCGCTAGTTGATAAATATTTGACAATTAAAGGTTCTTACTTTGAATATTGGTGTAGTTGTTTAACAAGGAGGGTTGCAGCGAATGCCTTCGACATGGAAGCGATTTGGAAAAGCGTCTCATTCGTAACTGGAACATTGGAGGTGGTATCTGTGACTCCGTATCCTTTGGCAAATAATAACTTTCCATCCTTCACGACACTAATGGTCAATCCTGGATTCTTAGGATGGCATTTTAGTGCCTGTAGTACCGATAATCAATGTACTGAACGAATTTAGAATTTACAATTCGTATTCGTGCTGTATTTATGTATATTCCCTTCTATCACCTGCTGAAATCATTATACATTAACTATAATGTACAATGTACATGTAGTCATTTTAGAAATATGGGACTGTCTTACATTACAGAAATGTGTAAGATGATAGTGTCCACAGTATTCTTTTCAAAATGGGTCAATGATTATTTTGACTACCAGCATGTATTTGGTGCCATTACTAATGTTCATTTTTAGAATGGGCCAAAGTAAACATAATGTGACTTGTCATTGGGAGGAATAATAAAATAAAAACTGTGTTTTTCTTATTGAAGTTATTTAAGTCCTTTATTTTTCCCAAAATACACATCCTTATATGTGTCAGATGGTTTTTAAATGAATCCTCATCTTTTCTCAGGTTGAAACTACCCATTCTTACCTTATTGATGGTACCATCTATCTTTGCTTCAAATTCAGATGACGTCAGAGCAGTTACACTAGTAAACAGAATTACGACAACACACAGAACAAAGGACGGTTCCCTCATTTTGTCCCATTATAAGTGCAGATCACCATATCAAAGAGGACAGCTGTCTTGATAAGAAAGAATTATCTACCACAATAGAAAAATACCTCACATTATACCACCATACAATAAATGTTAGCAGTCGCATTATTACCAAATATCTTGATTACCCTAATACGCAGCTGAAAAAACACATATAAAAACTTCCATTTTCTGTAATGTTTAAAAACTAGTGAATATTTTTGGGACCAAATTTCAGTTGATTTTTGCCTTAAAATTCTGACTGTCCCATTTTGTATTATTTTGCATAATTTATCTATTTTTACATAGATAATGAAGTTTTTGTTTTGGGTAATGTAAAAGAAAATTTCATAATCATCACGAGGTAGCCCCCCCCCCCCATTATAGACTACCTGATACTAAAAAAGCAAATAAGCTATGGTACTTGAGTCATCCCTGTTATAATGTAGATATTACAATGTGTGTTAAAGATTAGCTTCTGAACTTATGCAAGAGGCAAATATTAAATTAAATCCAAGAATGAAGTGTGATATTAAGTTCGGAGAAATGATCATGGAGAGTAGGACTGTTATCTTTTGGGGTCACCTGCTTTATCTTACCTGTTATATAATTAACTTTTCTACTCCAAAAAAAATTATATATTTTAATGAGCATAGTAGAACAGTCTAAGTTAGCATGCTACCAACAACAGGTTCACATCTAGACCGTATTCAATTTTAGTAACTTTTCCGTTGTTTTATCTTTTTTTCAAAATTTGAATACCATAATTGATTATGCAAATAAATACTTTAATAAAAAATTTCATGTACATATGAGCAATTTTAAATTTTTAATTGAAAACAAATAGAAACAAAAACAATGCCTTTTTTCTGAATGACTTGTCCTACTCTGTGAATAAGAAATTGGAGGTCAGTGTGAATATAAGTACATACATTTCCTTGAAGAAGATATAAGTATTTTATGACTGAGCATTCCATTTGATCTCTTCATTGTATCTTGTTTGTTTTATAACCTTTTTCTATTTCATATAATACTATATATGTGTATTTTAATTAACAACACGGCTGCAGGGTCCCGTTTTACAAAAGAACTTACGACTAGGACCAAAAAGTAATTTTGTGAATAACTTTCTAATCTACATTTATTTAAAAATGGCTTTAATCTTTTAAATAAAGAATTAGAAATATATTTTTATGCAAGCAATTTTTGACAGAATCGTTCATTTTGCAAGATTTTACAATCAACATAACTTTTTTTGTCACAGTCGTAAGTTCTTTTGTAAAACGCACCCCAGGTTTTTTTAATGCCCCGTAATCGAAGATCTGGGATCATATAGTTTACGGTCTGTCTGTCTGTTTGACCGTAAAACTTTAACCTTGCCCAAAACGGTGCAAGGGCTTTCATATTTCACATGTGTATTTTTTGTTACAAGACATTTGTTTGGGTACCAACATTTTCGACCTTGGAATTTGACCTACATTTGAAAAAAATTAACCAACTTTATCTGTGGCCATATTTTTTGAACGGTTAGTACTAAGCTTAGATTATTATGTTTTATATATGTATTTCTTGTAACAAGACCTGCCTTAATAGAGTATCAATATTTTACCTCTTGATCTTGGAGATTGACATACTTTAGGGGAAAAAAAAACTTTAACGGCCATAACTTCTGAACGGTTAGTGCTGGGGTTTTCATATTTCACATGTGTATTCCTTGTGACAAATCCTTTTTTGAGTATCATTATTTTTCACCTTGTGACCTAGACCCCCTTTCGAAAAATTTTAACCTTGGTCATTTCTTCTGAACGGTTAGTGCTAGGGCTTTCATAATTTAAGCGTGAATTTCTTCTGACGAGACCTTTTTTGAGTAGCAACATTTTTTACCTTGGAGTTTGACCTACTTTTGAAAACTCTAACCTTGGCTATGTGCTACCGAACGGGGGCATCAGTGTTTCACAAACACATCTTGTTTTTTTTTTTTAGATCAAATTATAAAACCAAATCTAGTTAACCAACAATAAGCATTCCAAAGAAAATAAATACATATGTATGAAAAGACCCTTTGTTAATAAACGATTGGGATTGGATACTTACACAACATATGTAGTACATGTTTCATGATTAGCTTCATCTTTATAACAAAGCTGTTATTACATTAACAGGCGGAAAGAGAGGTTATTTTTTTGATAGGATTGAAAATTTTCTATATTTACACCCACTCACCCCCCCCCCCCCCCAAACAAGCAAACAACTAACTAAAAAAACCAAAAGGGTATTAATAAACACTTAAAGATCTGATTGTGATATCAGAATCATTTAAGAATTTTAATTTTGTTCTGTTAAACTTTTTTTTTTCATTTTTGATGCAACAAAGTCAAAAACTTTTGTAAATAATTTCAATAAAAGGTTGTGTATAGTTCACAAAGAAGATTTTTATAATTTTTTTCTACTTTAATAAAATCTTTTCATTTACATAACCATAAGTCTTAAAGATAAAGATCTGGAAAACTTTCTTCCACGTGAATGTAAAGTTATATAATGTTACATAATTCGTTGCAAAACCTCGAATAAGCTTGGGAAAGTTTTTCTATATGTGTTCAAGAAAGTGGACAAGTAGATTCGACCTTGGACTCAAGTGACCTCTCAGATGGATCCCTATTTATCTATCGGGATTCGGTCGAAATTTCCAAATTGTCACAGACATGGCAACTATGGCGCGGTTATCATGGTTATCTTTGTGCATCTTCTTTGTGGTACTTTTTATGAGGGGAACAGATAGCCAGCCAGATTTTGAACAAAAAGTAGATGGAATATTGAAAAAGGTGAGTCAATATTGTGCGATAATAGGAAAGAATTATACTAAATAAAAAAGTAAATGGAATATACTGAAAAAGGTAAGTCAATATTATGTATTATTAATAGAAAGAATTATACTAAACAAAAAAGTAAATGGAATATTTAAAAAGGGAGGTCAATATTATGTAATTATTAATGGAAAGAATTATACTAAACAAAAAGTAAATGAAATATTAAAAAAAATACGTCAATATTGTGTCATCATTAAAGGAGAAAATTATTCTGAACAAAAAAGTAAATGGAATATTAAAAAAGATAAAGTCAATTTTGTGTTATTATTAAGGGAAAGAATTATACTGAACAAAAAAGTAGTGGAATACCGAAAAGATAAGTTAATATTATGTCATTATTTAAAAAAAAAATAATTATACTGAACAAAAACGTAAAGGGAATATTGAAAAAGATAAGTCGATATTGTGTCATCATTAAAGGGGAAAAAAGAAAATGGAATACTGAAAATGATAAGTCAGTATTATGCCATTATAAAACGAAAAAAAATTATACTAATCCCAAGGAAAGGGTAAATCTGATCATTTTTTGCATATACAGGAAATTATGTATTTAAATTGATTAAATTATTAACTATTGCGATGTCCAATATCGTACAACGTTTTTATTTAATAAAATTTGAAGATAACATTAGAAGTGGAATCAAGTCCCACGGATGAGTAAGCATCCCCTTTCAACCGGTCACACCCGCCGTGTGCTCCTTGTAACTATAGGGGTAAAAGGAGAAGTCCTTAGACAATACAGTATGAAAATAATGGCCTAACAATTTGTAAAGAAAACATCAGTCGACCTAACAACAGATTGAATTTGCAAACAAGGTCATTGTATCATCCATAGAGTTTGCAAAATGTTGACTTTCAACAAGATTATTGATGCCCTTGTATCATCAACTCATTTATCATTAGCCTGCCCCAGTTTAGAAATTGTTCCTTCGTAGAACATGCTCTTGCGAATCGAATCAACTGGAATACATTAATACCATAAGCAAGAGATTATGGTATATTGCTACATAAGAAATAGTAAACTTTCCATGATGTTCTTTTTTTTATTTTGCCATCACCCTAATAGACTCATATTTTTTTTTAATCACTTTAAGGGACACTATTGAGAAACTTTGAAATTAAACTTTTCGTGTTAAAAATCATTTTGCAAAATTAGATGATTTTTTTTATTAAACAAAACGTGATTTATTATCCTCATGCTACAAGCTTTGATCTTTAACTTTGGTGAAATTCTATGATCATTTTGCAGGTGTTTGAATGTCGTAACCTTACCCCTGGGTTAACAATTAGTGTAGTCAAAGATGGAAAGGTTCTTATGGCAAACGGTTATGGGGTGACAGATGTCACTACGAAAAGACCCGTGACCAATCAAACGCTGTTTGAAATAGCCTCGATGTCAAAAGCATTTGGTGCAACACTTCTGATGAAGCAGATTGGAAGAAGTGGAAAGTGCGTATAATTTGTGAATGACAATCAAAATAAATTAAATTACATGCTGTCTTAACCTTAGAAACATTCCTGGTCATTTATTTCAGCTTGAGTGCTCAGTCCAAAATTAAAGAGCTTTTAGGTCCAACATTTACCTTTGCTGACGCTGAGAGGAACAGACTAGCAGACGTCAACGACATATTGTCGCAACAACTGGGTATCCCCGGTCATTACTTGATGAAACTAGATCTCAATCTCACGAGAACTAATTTACTGACGTAAGTACTCAGTAATTACACGTACAATGCCCTTTGCACAAGAAAAGTAATTCTGTACACATTTACCTTTTGCCTTTCATTATAAAAGTTGAATGTCTTTCAATGTTCAGTTTCCCAGTTTATCAGCTAATCTTTATCACAAAGTCTTTCCTAAATGAGGGTGAAGTCATCTTGTTATTGTCTGATTTTCAACAAATTTTGTTCTGGCCTTAACTTGAGAGTATTATTTGAAAAAAATTAAAAGTTTCACATGTTTGTTAATTTAACAATGTGTCAAGATTTTGATTCAAGATCTTATTTAAGAATTCAATTTTAAGGTTATTGAACAAAAAATAATTTAAATGAGACCAGAAATACAAATAACATTGAAAGGAATATAATTATCTTGTTCATGATTTTGGGTCAAGCTCATATCTTAAAAGTCAAGGTCAACGTGGCAATGATATGTTGAAATGTTTTTTGAAACCTTGTCTCGACTGAATGTAGACTTGAGTACATGTAAGTGGTTGTCTATGACCTCAGGGCGTGTTTTGATCTTACATCAAGACCTTTACTGATAAATCAAGGTCGTTTAATATCGTGTCTAGTCTAAAAACGTTAAAACTCTGGATTTGAATGAAAAATAACGCCTTAAAGATTCAAGCCACATGGTGAGATAACAGTAACCTTTGATTAAATTGTATTCAGTCTCATATATATCACTAACGACAAAACAACCAAACAAATGATCCCCCTAAGAACGCAGTAATTTCTATTTTCTACCGCTCCTTCTTTAAAAAATTTTAATGTATGGTATTGGGAATTTAAAATGGATTTTACTTAAAATTTCAGGCGATTTAAGTATTTGAATGGGACCAAACCTTTACGACAGGGCTTCCTTTATAGCGGAATGAATTATGCTCTTGCTATGATCATATCCGAGCATTTAGGCGGGAATACGTGGGAAGAGTTGATTAAAAAGGAGATTTTTGATCCATTAGGAATGTCTTCATCGACTGTTATGTCCATTATTCCAGATTTAAGTAATGCAGCGAGGGGATATGTTTACACTGAAAACTTCACTCTTGTTCCCGTTGAGTTCGCCTTGTCTCGGTAAGTTTTAAGTCCAATCTGTATTCTTTAAACGACAATAAAATCGTCGCACAGCTACCATATCCTCCTCTTGATACTTGCCGGGATAATATACTGAAACGCAAAAGAAACGCAACATCCTATTTTAGAGGGGAAAATCGTATAAAGGATATAATTTTGTATCTAAAAAGTACGGATATTTTCAACATTGTAAGTATCGATAATTTAACGGTTGAACGATTTTCGTGCCATAACCGGAAGTTAAGTTTGAGCCCGCTGAACAGAAATAAAAAATTGCATGTTTAACAAAAAATTTGACAAAAATATGGGAATTTAAGGGTTTGTTTCTGTTTATCATAAGTAATGCAGCAATATTTCGCAAAATAAATTCTCCTTTCGTTTCCGGAAGAGATGCCAAGGCTTCCTGAAAATGACTTAAGTACGCATTTCAAATGCTCTAGCTGGAAAATCTGAAAAAAAGGTGATGGAGAATTGCAGATGCAAAAATGCCCAACAACACGCCTCAACAGGCTCATACGTATCATTTGCACGAATGATAGTCCGTGGACCGGAAGTCCAAGTGTTACTACACTGCGCTAGGTTAGAGAAAATTCGACTTCATCATCTCAAAAACGGACATTTAAAAATTGCAAAGAATATTTTTTTCGCTCAGATCCCGAGACTGATGAACTTACTGCATCGTGGAAATCAAGCTGCAATTGCTGTGCATGGCAGTCTTCCACGCTATAATTGAATGGCCGAGAAGGGGGGTGTTTTAACAGTCATGTGTTACTTTCTAAAGTTAAAAGGTAATCATTTAACATTGTTATCAAATCTTCGATGCTTTTAAATCGAGTTTAACTTAATTGTAATCAGTTTTGAAAATTATTAGTTAAAAGGTTCAAATATTTGTAGATTACTGCTAGTTGCGTTTCTTTTGCGTTTCAGTATATAAAATGTTAAAAAGCTACCACTAAGTGTTACAAATGTCAGTTGATAAAAATAGTCAAGTTTTGCATAACCCAAACTATGTTTATATTACACTGTGTAAGTCAAAAGCTGTTTTAGATCACTATTTCTTCTACGGATGTTGCAAAGGCTGTCCAGACTCTTTAGCATGATCTCTCGGACAATTATTTCACAATTTTTTTTAAATAAAACTTTCCGAGTTTTCCTTTATGACACAAGTCATTTAGACTATATATGGATCTCAACCTTCCATTTTCAATGCATTTCTTCTACAAGTTGTTCCAGAGCAAGAAGAACTATTTGAGAACTGGTTTGTTTTGTTTCCAGGGTCCGTGTTTTATGCCATGTTCACAGATTTGTATTGTTTGTAGATTTTGTTTAAAGATTAATCACTGTTCGATATCTTTACCTATTTCACTTCAGACAGTGGGCTGTATTAGCCTCTGCAAGTGGCATTGCCAGTAACGCAGTCGATATGACTAAGTGGATGAACTTCCACCTAAGTGGAGGACTAAATGATAAGAATACTATAGTAATGAACTCCACTTTGGTTGAAATGTTACACGCCCCACGTGTAAAGCTTCCACATGATTCTAAATCATGGCAGCCTGGAACCACGCACAGAATGGTGGAGGACTCGTATGCTTACGGGTGGAAAAGAGGTCAATATAGAGGTGAGAATGACCGATTCAGGTGGCCATAGGATAGCTTCAATATAGAATGTTAATTCTAGTAGTCACAAGATCACAGAATATATTTAGGTTTTCTTAAAGATCTACTGTTATTAAACATTTAGATGTTAAATTTTGTGAATGACGTTATATCCTTTTGCAGGACATACCCTACTGAACCATGGAGGGACGTCTTGGGGGTACAATTCCTTCATTAGTTTGTACCCAGATGTAAACACAGGTATCTTTACCGCTGTAACAGGGAGCGACCACTATTATATGTTCCAATCAGCTCTCCATAACTTCCTCTTTGACAACGCAAACAATATCACCTCATGGTTCAATGAGTCAATCCTCTGCAACTATCCAGAGCCTTGGTACCATGGTTATCACAGAGCTCACCATGTTGATAAAACTATTCACCCATCTCGACCGCTGACAGAATATACAGGTCTTTATACAAATCCCGCCTATGGTGATGTGTTCATCTTTATGAACAAAATGAATAAGCTCGAGATGAGCTATGGAATGGGTTCATGGATTCTTTATCCAAAACACAAACGGGACCAGTTTTCTGGTTCATCTACAGGAGACATATATAGAGTGGTTGAACTAAGTACTGTTGAATTCTTTGCCGATGGACACGGGAAGATCAATTCTGTAAAACAGCCCAGTTTTGACTGGGACGAACCTCCAGTGTTTGTCAAATCTGTATAAATAATGAAAAACATTACATTCTACTGCGATATCTTATTAATATGTTGTCTGTTTTGTTAATTTTTGTTTTGTTTTGTTTTAATAAATTGTAAATTTATCATTACAATATGACTATATTTTGTGTTTGTATTTACTTAATATGGCTTGCAATGTCCTTTGCAGATATAAACCATTCAATTGTTAATGAAACATACAATGGTTATATGGAAGTTTTTAGAGTAAGAAAAAGAAATTGACCATTATTCAATCCTTGAAAATCAGTTTATTTCGAAAGGATAAACAGAATTATATTTTTCTTAATAGTTATCATTGGGTGAAATAAAATACATATGAGTAGTGTTGAGGTTCATTTGGGTCGTATTTTGGCTGACTCGTTTCATACCAATTGTTAAATAATAATTCAATTCACTTTATTGACAATTACCATGTCGGCATACAGTCATGACATAAAACAAATTAACAAGAATAATACATACATAGACAAAGTGACAAATGTGAGTTGAACAAAATAATGCAGAGTATATTCACATATTTCTAAGTATTCATTGCTGACTTTCTTTTCTGTTGTCAAAGCACTTTTTCCAAAAACAACATATCCTTCTAGCAGTTGTAATATTTGTAGGATTGACAATTTTTCTAATGGGATTATCACTAGTATATGTGTTTACATTAAATATATCAGTATAATTGCATCTAAATTGGTCAAACTTTGAACAGTATAAAACAAAATGTTTTTCATCTTCAATAAATAATTTACATGACTAGCATAAACGTTTTTCTCTAGGAATAGGGGGTTTACAGTATCTGCCCGTTTCAATATACAATGGATGGGCACTGATCCTTAATTTTGTTAATATAGATCTAAAACTTTTCTTTAAAGGCAGCTTTAAATAACTTTGCAATTTGTATTCATTTTGAATTACAATTTTACTATAAAAAGCTAACTTTCCAGAGTCTGATTTGCTTATATTTTTCAGTTGTTCATGTATCTTGTTTTGGTAATGCTCTTGTAATTTGTTTTTCAAGGTTGTTTGAGAAATATCCAAAGAAGTGATATTTAATTTTTGTAGTAATGAAGACAGTTTTCTTTGCCAAGATATTCTAGATACAAGTTTTTTGTCTTCTTTAAATGCAGAAATCACTAAATAATTATTATAATCATGTTTGTTTTCCATTTCCTTAAGTCTCTTAAAATATTTAAACATATATTCATAACATAAATAGTACAAAGGAAAACGACCCAATTCACATAAAACAGCAAGATTTGATGCCTTTCTATGTACCCCTAGTATGTTTTTAAATTTTAAGTGTTGTGTTTTTTTCAAAAGGAAATTGGTCTGAAGACATTAAATCACATTTGAAGTCAGTTATCCATACTTCAGATCCATATGTAATAATTGGTATTATCATTGACTGGTATAATTTTAACATAATTTCAGCTGAAAAATTAATGTTTGCAGGAAAATTTGATTTAATAGCATAATATGCTTTCCTAGCACGTTCTGATAGTTGTTCAGCTGAATAAGACCTTTGTTTTTGTATTGAATTGACTACGGATAGTTCCGTCTACCTGATCAATACATAGGGCTCACGGCGGGTGTGACCGGTCAAAAGGGGATGCTTACTCCTCCTAGGCACCTGATCTCACCTCTGGAATTTTCAGGGGTCCGTGTTTTATGCCCTTTTCACATATTTGTATTGTTTGTGGATTTTTTGAGATCGATCAATGTTTGTTATCTTCACCTTTTACGTTGCAAAGAAAGGAGAAATTCCGGCTCCCTCCATCTGTTCGCAAACTATTGCAACTCTACCTAAGGAGGGATTCTTCTCAAGTTTAATGTATTCAAAATTTAATGTTATTATCATACATTCCAGAAGACAATATTATTAAGTGTTGTTATCAATTAAATCAAATTTGACTTTGTGTCCTTTATCATAGAAAATAAATATACAGCTCCGCGAACTGTTAACGATCACATGGATTTTCGCACAAATTAAGGTCCCATTCTTGTTATAGTAAAATTAACATTATCTTACTTAAGTACGACAAATGTATTTGATATCTCATAACAAGGCAACACGCCATTTAAATTTATTATCTTGTTTTCAACGTCCATATTTTAAAGGGGAGTTTATCAATTAATGGTACGATGTGACTTTTATAATTCTACCATAAGTATTTACATATTGAATTAATCGAGCTTTCTTTGATGGCATTTAGTTGAAATTTTTTTGACGTCTTAAAGGTAAGTATTTTTTTCCTTTACCATACTCGTCGTGGTTTGTCGAAATGTAGCGCCGAAAAAGGTCAACGCTGTGGATAGAAACCATGCCAGAAGGTAGGAAAATGAATTGTTGCTTATCTTTAAAAATGGTAAATTGTTACTATTGAAAGGAAAATTCTTTTACAGCTATGTTTTGAAATTTTATAATTTTGCAGTGATAGGATCTCTCATGATTCTAGATTTCAGAAAGTAACTCTGAAAAAAACTCAGCTTTTGAACATGGAAAGCAGTCGAACAGATGAGAAATACTGTTATCATCTTGCGTTATGGAGTCACGTAAATGTAAAGAAAATACACGTTAGAGGAGTTGTACTGTGTCTAGGTAAGAGGAAAAAGGTTACCCATAGTCAAGAGAGAATCTTCAAGAAATTAAGATTGCAGGAAAGGTAATTCGTTGCTGGAGTTAAGAAAAGAGTTGTTAAAATGAGACATGATATCCTTAATTAAGTGAAACAGCAATTCCGTAAAAGTTTTACGAAGGAGTAAAATAAACGTTTCTGTAAAAAGCAACTGCTTTCAAAAGAAAGGAGCAATTGGCAAGAAACCGTAAAAACCACTTGGAAATTGTTATGATTTATTAGCCAAGAGTATATTCAAGTCCTCCAAAATATTATCTGTGAAATATGTTTTAGTTAGTGAAATGAAAATTAATTAAGATGAACAATCACTTAAAAATATATTTTGTTGTCTTGTTACACAATATCGCATTGTTACAATGTGATAATACTTTGTCCAAAAACCATGTGAGTTTAAAAAGTGCGCGAAACTGTATGTGTAGCTTGTTTAAAAAAAACGGTTGACAAGAAGAAAAAAGAGAATGAAAACTGTTATTTTCTTTTAGTTATATATTTAAAAAATCGTTTGACCGGATTGTAAAATTCTTGCTAATCAACGGACTCCGGAATTGGTGAGTCTTTTTTTAAACTACAACCTTAAGAGATTTGCAATTATTAATGATTTATTGTAAGGAAGAGTAGAGCCTCTTTAAACGTGATGACTTTAACTTTTCTATCCACAACGTCCCTTATATATGTAGCAATATACCATAATCACTTGCATATTGTGTTAATGTCTCCAAGGGATACGCATAAGCATGTTCTACTTTCGCACAATTTCTAAACTGAAATAAGTTGATGATTCAAAGGTATCAAAGATCTTGTTTAAAGTTAACATTTCGCAAATTTTATGATACATTAACCTTGTGTTCAAATACAATCTGTCGTTAATTCGAATGTTGATTGATGTTTTTCATACAAATTGTTAGGTCATTATTATCACACTGCATTGTCTACGGACTTCTCCTTTTACCCGATCATGACAGGGAGCCCACAGCAGGTGTAACCGATCGACAGGGGATGCTTACTCCTCCATAGCACCTGATTCCACCTTTGATGTTTTCAGGGGTCTCTGTTTGCTTTGCTCTCAATTTGTAGTGTTTAGTTGGACTTTTAACGATGATAACTGTTCAGTATCTTCACATTTAATTTAATAAAAACGTTGTACGACATTGAAAAAATAATGGAAATATTTACGATAATTGAATAAATGGCAATACATTTTCTCTGTGTGAAAAATGAACATATTTTCATCTTTATTGGAATTAGCGTAATTCTTTCCTTTAATAATAACACAATATTGACCTAACTTTCCATCTATCTTTTCTTTACTTTAATAATGACACAATATTGACTTACCTTTTTCAGTATTAGCAGGAAGGTCAAGGGCTGCCCCCTTTCCCCTACTTTTTTCCCAATCGTAACTTCTCACTGTTGAAAAGTTTTGTTGAAAAGCTGGTCGACCCTTAACACCCCCCCCCCACACACACACACACACAAACACACTTTTTTGCGGTATAGTTAAATCATAGTAATGTATTAATAAAATTTGGTTGTGGAACATCCCCCACCCCAATCCAGGAGTAGGAATTTATAATAGGGGTTTGGACAATTTATCAATTTATTTTGCTTGTCAGAGTTTTTTTTTCCTGGTAAGTTTTCATTTTTATGGCTGACCTCCCCATTTTCAAAAACGATACTACGTTCCTGATTGGGCAGATTACTCTGACTGCATAAAACTACTTTTTCGGTGAGCAGAATTTAGAGCTTCCTTAAGGATACATGATTCAAACTAAAAATGGATGTATGGACTGATATATACACATGTATATGTTAGGATCTTATTTGAAATTTTAGTTTGCAACTATTTTAAATATTAAGAAATTGTAAACAGTCTATGATGTTTAGAATTCAAATTTTCTGCAGTCATCCTCATCAATCTTCACTACTTTTTAACGCTTTATATGACATTATTGTGACATTTTGAATGAAAAATTTAAACTTATACTATGAAACTTATTCATTTTAATGTTAATAAAATCACTTTACATGCAGTTTTCTGAAAAATTGCTATACAAAATCTCTAGAGGAGTTATTGCGCTTTCTCCGTTCAGCAAATTTATTTTCGACTTCAGTAGTGGTCTGACAAGTGGAATATATCCGCGGTCGTTGTACATTTTGTACCTCAGTAATTCTTATATTTTGTACCTCTGTAATTCTTGTATTTTGTTCCTCTGTAATTCTTACATTTTGTACCTCAGTAAATCTCACATTTATTGCTAAAATCTCACAAAGATTGTAATTCTTACATTTTGTACCTCTGTAATTCTTACATTTTCTACCTCTGTAATTCTTACATTTATACCGTTGTAATTCTTACATTTTGTACCTCTGTAATTCTTACATTTAAACCG